CTGTTGATGCTGAAATTCCAGCTTAAGTCAATCACTTCAGTTTTAAAAAATAATTTGAGTTGCCCTTTTTCCTTAGAAAATATCCAACTTGATCAGAAACATTCACTGTTTTTAACTTGTTAGCTCCAGTCTCTACAAATGCAGCCATTGTTCCATGTGGAATCTTAAGATGTATACATATATTGTGACAGATGGGCACACAAGCATGCTAACTATATAAAGAGTGGGGGAGGCAGGTCTCCTGGCTTCACAATGTGCTAATTGCCCAAGTGAGCAAAATTCTGGCTTGCTCTGTTGAATTGTGGATATTGCTAGACCTGCAGCAAAATGACTAACAACTAATTTGGAGCAAGAATGTAGGCAAGCAAGACCCTACAAAGTGTGCCAAACATCTTTAACCCTACAGTGTTTTGTTTGTAACCACAAGGGTTGTGTTTTCCTTACCATAGTATGCTAAAGCTCACCTTTATTTTATGCATTAAGCCAGCTGATTACTTTTGCATTTATATAATCTAGGTAATTTTCAAGTCTGTGGGAAATACTGACACCTTTTATTTTCCAAGATTTTGTTGAAACATGAAACTTAATTCTTGACTCCTTCATTATCAGTCAAAGGAAACAGTATCCCCTCCTTTCTGTCTTTGGTTTGATGTGGAGTGAAGAAGCCCTCTTTCTTCACCATCTAGCAGTCTACCATCTGTTTCATTATTCTTGACCAAAATAGTTAGAAGCAATGGCTACATTTATGACATGTGACAGAGGGAGAATATGACATCTAATTCCCGGCATGTGCTCAGGTCATTCAGCCATGCAAACATTCATGCCTAGTTCCAGGTCTTCTATAGTTAGATTAAGGGAAAACATCCCCCTGCTAGCTGAGAATAAAAAGGCACTTTGCATCATTTCTCATTGGCCACTGTATTTTGACTTCCTATAGGTTTCTCACTACCTCACTATGTCAGGCCTCAGCAGGCACCAGATGGTATTTTCTTTACAGCCTGGCTTGGTAGGTATGTTTTGTGCTTTTGAATCAAACCAGATACATATATTGTGGCTGCAACCCAGTTACCAGCTTCCTTATTTTTTTCTTAGATTGAAACCTAATGGTTTCCTGACCTGGATACAATCCCAGGTCTCCAACAGTCTGACCTTACTTTGTCTTTTCTGATTTCATCTGGTGTTTGCTGGGTCCATAATGTGTTTTGTAGTGTGTCACATGATGACTCAAGCTGTTACAGCACATGTTGGACAGCATGGGTGAAAAGCAACATTGCCAGTTCAGCTTTGTCCACATAATGAGGCCAGAGAAGTGAAAACCTGTACTTTCTCAAATAATCACATTCTCTGCTGACTTGGCCATTAACAATTTGATATAGAAGCATTTAAAAAAAACTTCAAGAATAAGAACATAATCAAAATGAAATAAAGAGCATGAAATGGATGAAAACTTAAGACACTAGAATTCTCATTCTTTTATATACTGTTTAGTAAATGTAGGAGGAGAGCTTCTGTGCCAACACATACAGGAGGGACAGCAAAACAGTGTGAAACCAGTGGGCCACGATGACCAGCTTGTCTATCACAAAGGGCTACTGTGAACAAAACTGTCATGAGCATGTGTAAATAGCAGGGTGTTCACTTACCTTTGGAGAGCAAATGTTAACAGATTAGCACTGGCACTCTACATGCTGGCTTATATTTATTTGCTATATGTAAGTTATTATTTCTGGAGAGCCATACAGGATGAGCTTGCCTATAGTTTGGACCATGATCCACTGGTGGGTTATTGCAAAGGATGCTGACCTGGAACTAGGGATGTAATTTTTCACTGCTTTTCTTCTAAGGAATCAATGATTAATTTTAGCACTAGTCTTCCTACTCCAAGAAAGTGTTCAAAAACCATGCAGTTTCTGAAAGCTATTCACAATTTGGGACATATCTGTGCAAAATTCACAAATGTTTGTTTTGTGCAAAAGGCAGTATTTTCTGCAAAGGAAAAATCATTTTCTGTTTTCTGTACAAATCAACATGTGCAAATTTTGTGCAGAGTAAGTCCCCAATTAGAACATTTTATGTGCAGGAAACACTTTTTTTCCATGGAGAAAACCCAGGGGG